AACGTAGGACACAAAAAATTTGAGGAAGAATTAGTTTATCTCACACCCATACCTTAAAATTAATCACAACTAACACGTTCCAAAAAGATACGAGTGTTTTAATGTGCCAAACTAACAACGGCACTGAAACAGAACTAATTCTGTGTGTTCCAAATTAATTTATAAGACAAAAGTACCTGACAAAAATTGCTCAACTATAACCACCTTACTGTACTCCGGCGAAGAAAGTAGCAATTGACTCAAAAAAATTCTTGAACGTGCGATTGGAAGATGTCAATAAAATTATCATCTCACAAAACCTAAATGCAAAGATAGATTGCTCACCTGAAGCTTTGAAGGGATCAGCCTATCATTGTCAAAGCGAATAAGAACATACTCCTGAACTTTATACATATGCCCGTTGATGTAGCAAGATTGATAATAACTTTTCTTATCCACAACTTTCATTATGTCGCCGCCCCAATATACAGCATGTAAGCCATCTGGTGCAGAAATATTGTGCTCTGTAACTCCAGTACTGGCAGTAGTTTCTGTACGATTTTCTCGTAAAACTTCATCCTTTAGTTGATTTATGTTATTGTTGGAAGTTTCTTTACCATGAGATTCCGTTGAATCCCTACTCACCATATGATTTTCAAGAAATTGATATGGTGAACTTACTTCATCACTAGCTGACCTTAGGTTACTATCTTGAGCGTCAGCAGGAGTTCGTGAGTTATCAGATAAAGTAGGAACAGCGTCTGACTTCTCAGGAGGATCTGATATGAATTCAATCATTTTCCCATCAAAGGATGTTTCAGCTGATGAATTTACAGGAGTAACACGAGCAGCATTTGAGGTTTTCATCACATCATTTGGGCAAGTTTCAGAGAATTTGTCATCCACCTTTGCCTCACTCGATATGATACCATTCCCTTGCACTCCTTTAGCATCTTCCGCTTTTGTTCCAGATACTTGATAGCTATAATTACTTTCAGTGGTATCATTGGTTACATTTTGAATTGAGGTGTTCACATTGACCATTACCTTCGGCTGACCGATCTTCTCATCTGAAGCCTCAACCTTTTTAGTTGAAGTTGATGTAACAGCTGCTGCATTCGAAGGCACCTTTGGTGCATTAATGTTTCTCATGACACGACCATACTTGGGGGGTATAGGTTTCCCATTGCTTAGTGACAAGCACTTTCCACAATGCCACTCTCCTCTAGGAACTTTATTTTGATTAGTTGTCTGGAGGCATTTTAAGTGGAACCCTTTCTCACAAGCATCACAAACAAGTAAGCTGTCTATCTCCACAAGGGCAGACATGCACATCTGACACGTCAATGCTTTGTTCATGTAATCCCTAGAAGGAGGCTTCCAAGGAGGACACTTCAGATCCTGAGACTGCAATAATTTCTGAACGATCTTACTAATTTCAGCATGTGTATTACCCAATGAAGGAGTCTGAACAGAGTTCGTTCCTTGTAAAGTCGGAAGTACCCTTGGTGGCCCAGTAATTTTCTGAGTGACAACTGGCCTAGGGGTTGCTTGTGGGGTCAATCCAGACTTACCATCAACTCCTCCATCTTTAACAGACAAATTCACTGGCACCTTAGTATCTAAACAAATTTTAGCTGATGAGCCAGATTGGGGTTGCACCGACCAAGTTGGAGTTCTCACACTTGAGTTAGCAGTGTAATTTACTGCAGTGTGAAAGAGTACAGAAAATTGAAGGACCATAAAAAATGTGAAGAAAAATCAGTAGACAGTAACATAGTACGGCCAATTCCCATTAGGAGAAATTTCGTGGCATGGGATAGGCTTCAAACAGACAATTATACTCTTCACAGCGTAAAAGAATCCAGAATTTGAAGGACGATAAAAGAATTATGAAGAAAAATCAACAGACAACAATGTAGCCGTAGTAAGACCAATTCCATAAAGAGAAATCTCACGGCATGAAATAGTCTTCAAACAGATAATTATACTCTTACGTTATGAATTTCCACGAAAAAATCCATACTCAACTATGCAATTTTCAGTTTTAAAGAAAAAGCATTGTAGCGTTGCTGCAAATGCTTCTAAATTTTAAATAAAGCAAGTTCTGGCTCACAAGATCACAGGCATTAAGGGTAATGTGATGTTTGTTATTGCCAATATGAACCTTAATTTACTTTTAACAAGAACCTTGCAATCAAGGTTCTTCAGAAAATAATTTGATTGAGCAGATCTTTTGCGATCAATTACGATTAAGAGCAAGAAATCAGTGTGACCTTGAACTTGTGAAGGGCAAAGAGAGCCATTTAGTCTTCCATCCAATCTAGCAAGAGGACGGTCAACTCTAGGCAAAGCCGTTGAACCCAAATGACTTGAGGGCAAAGTACTGGAAACTCCTGGTCTTATCTCACTAGTAGAAAGCTGATATGTTGAAGATGTAGAATTTGATGGAGTGCCATGACCCAAAGGTGAGGAAGATTTAAAATTTCCAGAAGATATTGCCATGTGAACTGGTTTATCTGACTGAGGCATCTGAACACTGCGTGGTGTACCATAGCTTTCAGCTCCTGCATGAGAGTTCACTTGCTGACTTTGAGATGAATGTGGAGTGGATGGTAGAGATATTTTTTCTGATTTTTCCATCTAAAATGGGATAAAAGAACTAAACATCAGCATAAAGCATAACTACAGTTTGCTGGGCAATATTAAGTCAACCAATGCAGAACAAACAAGCATTATGTCAACTTCCATCCATAATGAAATATTCTTGAAAATGTGTCAGGTAATATAACTTTTTAACGGCACTGATACTACAACCAACCAGTAAAAACGTATACAAGAAATTAAATGAGTGAGCAAACAATCACAATATTTAGCATCTGAGTACGTGGCGAAATTAGTACTCCACAAAGTTCAGTCACGAACATAAAGTGAAAAAATTCTAGAAACAAAAAGTTCTTGATCATGAGAACGTCCGTATATGTGTTAACTATATGGAAAATATTATTTAACAATAATAAATAGAGACATCAAGACATAGCCCCCGTTTGGCCCCCTTTAAAACTCTTCAATTCAATTTAATTTTTTCTTTCTCCTACTTTCAATCACACAATCTTCGATAAAATAATATTACACTTAAATCGAAAACTTTTCAACCACACAATCTTCGATAAAATACCATTCCCCTCATTATAAATTCAAATAATGGGGGCCAAACGGGGCATAATACATTGAGAACAAAGTTTCCCTCAGATGCTAATTAAGATCCAAATTGATACTCAACCAAGTCACTGTTCTTGTCTGCATGTTTCAAGCTGTCAATTAGACTTTTATAAATGTTTTAGTGTACATTCTTCAGTGTGTATAATTTTAAGGAGTACAATTTTGTATTTTCATAATGTCATGAATTATTATATTGATTAATGATGAGGCTTACAACTTATACACATCACCTCATGGATGCAAAATAACGTGATTCGGCCATTTTAAATGCCGCATTGTAAGATGTTCCTGTCTTTAGATAAACGATTCTGTAGCTTATCCAAATATTGTTGTTTCTCTTTAAGTAGACACGTTCCTAATTTAGCATGATATCATTAAAAATTCATTCATAGCCACCTATACTTGATCTTAACCTCAAAAACCTAGCTATCCACCCATCTTGAATCAGTCACATTACGAAACGAACTGGAACTCCTATTATAGGCACTTTATAGCTATGTCAGCAAGAGGAAGAGTAGAAAGTGTGAGCTCTGAATCCACAGATCTGTGAATGAAAAAGGCAATTTTTATTTTTTTTTAATTTCAATTCTCATCTACGAGGTTCTCAAATCCTCTATCCTTGTAGCTTCTCCAAGAGAAATTCTTCTTTATCTCTAAAATTATTAGAGGTAGTTGTGGATCAAATTAGAAAACTGGGCAGACCACAAATTTATAGGTTGCCGTATCTTTGGATATATTATTCTCCACCATTTAGAATACTGAACACATGGTTAAAAAAACTTAATCCTAGAATCCCACTTCACATGAGGCTTACGCCTAAAAAACCCCACCTTAAATGCCATTTGTAAGGCGTAGCCTCGGGCCAACTAAGGTGTCCATCCATTTGTCTTGTATTGTTTGAGCATTTAATTCTTAGCCTTGGCTTTTTGGGGTTTTTTTTTATAACCTAAAATGTTTTACATATTTTTTTATTTACTTTTTCTCCCTACACGGAAGGATAATACATAATTTTTTTCTTGATAGGTAAAAAAAATTACATCAATGCAATCGGATGATGATAAAGAATGAAAAGATAATTTCAATAAGGATAATGACAATGATGTTATGATGTACAACACTCCTATTGGGCAGCATGTCCAAGTGCTACATTTTTAATATCATGTCGAACACTAAAACTCCATGAAATGAGTTCGATAAACCAAATGCTGTGTCCTATTGTTTATATAAAGGCAAGTGCTCGACAACATGACAAATGTTGTGTTATATATTAAAAAGTTCAAAATAAATATATAATGTGTAAATTGAAATTTTAAAGAATTTAATTTCATGTTCACAGTATGTCCATGTGCTACTATTTATAATATCACATTTCAACATGTTCGTGTTGTGTCCAAAGTGCATGTCTATGTCCATGCAACTTAGATGTTAACGACTCCTCAAAAAGACCATATTAGTAGTGATGATATAAGAATTTTTTAAGTTGTTTCCACTTCTTATAATAAGAGTATATTTTTGTTACATGATTTTAATTTTGAGAACTTCTATTATTAAATTGTCAAATAGTTCTATTATGATTTTTTCAAAGTGTCTATGATACAGTACAAATATACTTATGTATTTTTTATATTATTTGGAATTCATTTATTGTTATATCTTAAATCTTATGTCTCAATGTGTCTCAAGGCTTTCACCTCGCCTAATAGAGGAAACGTCACAGTATCCAAATAAGCCTTTTTAAATATTGAAAGAACAAAATGGCAAAAATTATTCTAAATGGTGCTCTTAAGATTTAAAACCATGACTTGTCACATTTTAGAGATCATGAGATTCCAACAAATGCACAAAGAGAACACTTGAGATAGTAATCAAATTCAACAGCATTCCCAAAATGTACGTACTATTTATCATATGTAGTGGGGAGCAAAAATCTAGGATTACCAATTCAATGGTAACAGGGCCCAATCAGGATTGTTTGTTAGGAAGATGGGAAGAAGAGGACCAAAGAGAATGTACAAGGAGAGTTTAGAATGGATAATTTTCAATCTTTCCAATTTCATACTACACACATCGACCAGCATAATACTCTGGACTAATTTCCATAAAACTTTTCCATTTTCAATCAAAATGGAACTACAAATAAGAAAATTTAGGACAGATTAGAGTAGATTGCAAGATTCAAAATGGAGAGTCAAGAGAGAAAAGATATGCGACTCAGGTTAAGTATTGAGTGGTCAGGCCGAAACTATGAGTCAAAGCTTTCTTCAGTGCATTACGGCAAAATGCAAATTACATCATGTGAAATTTTTGAAAATAGGCCAAGAAATCCCTAGCATGTCCAAATTCAAAATTAGAGGGAATTCGTTCCTGCTTTAAGCAGTGGTGGAGCCAAAACTTCAATTCAGATATCTTAAATAATGCAACAACATAAAAACGTTAAAAATCTTACAATTTTATCTCTTCATAACTTCCTATGTATCAGACAGACCAAATTCACTTTAATTTTGACAAATGATATAGCTTTAAACGGTTTTTGTCAGCCCAAATTATACTGAAAGTTCAATGATTAAAATTGCTAGCACAAGTTTCCCAATTGTTACATTTCACCGCTTTCTCTTCCTCAAACTTTCTTCCGCAGCTATTTTTGCAAAAAGAAAAATGTGAAATACTCAAATAAAACACAATATTCATTTCCATCAAACAGTGTCCTGTCTAATAAATCTGATAGCAATAATCTTAACTCGTTCTTTCTCCATTGCACAATAAAAAAAAATACCAATTACAGTAATTAACACAAATTCAACAGCCTGAGCAAACAATTGAAAATTATAATAAACGGGAAAAAAAATAAAATGATAAAAACCTTTCTTTTAGAGATCAACAACTTCTCAGCAATTGACAATTTGGGAGGTCGAAAACCTAGTCTTTGTTCCTTCAATTTATTAAGCCCCATATCCTCAATCACACCCCCAAAAGCATCCCTTGGAAACACATCCTTAGGGGCAAACCCCTCACAAACCTTCACCAACCTTTCCCGGGCTTCCTTCATCAAGTCCTTCTCGGCCTCTGTCGTTCCACTCCCTCCCCTCATCTTCCCCATAGCCGCCAACACCAACACCATCTCCGCCACCTTCTTTACATTCACAACCAAATCCCCACCCCCTTTAATCCTCTTAGCTTCTTTCAACACTTCCCCGTCCTCTAGCAACGGTCTCTTTTCACCCACGCCCTCCAATCCTACTCCTGATTCACTCCCCACCATCGACTCCATCTAACACAAAATCCTACTAAACAATTACCTCTAAACCTCCATGGAAAGCATCGCTTCGGTAGAATTCGAAACGGAATCCTTCGCGATTGGCGTACAGACCTGCAGAGAAGAGAGACGAGTAAAGCCATAAGAGGGAGAAGAGAGAAGGAGAAGAGGAGGCCGGGGAGAGGGGCGAGGGGGACTTTTGGGGGAAATTAAAATTTGGAATCGTTAAAAAAATCTTAAAAAATAAACCTTTTTGGCGGTTAATTGAAATACGAAGCTAAGAGAAAATCTTAAAAACGAGAGATTTGGCCTTTGGGCAAAAGACTTGAGCAGGGACGAGGAGCGAGAGAGAAGAGAGAGAGGAATATTAGTGCATAATTTTTACCTATATCCTTCTGTTAGTATTTTATAATGGATTAGTGCGATGGTTGCACGGTGTCGGCCGTGCTACCTTCTTCTCATTTTTACACGTTTGCCCTGGACTGTTTATGGGTTTAATTTAGGAAAAATTGCAGCAGCAGTCCCTAACTTTCACATTATACTAATCATAGTCCTAAACTTTTTACAAATATGCACATGATATTCAAATAGATGGAAATATTTGACCGTTAGTTAACCAAGAATAGTAAAAATTGACCAAATTAAAAGGGTAAGATGGTAACTTTGCATTTATCCCTTAAAATAATTAAAACAAAATAAAAGAAAAAGGAAAAAAAATGTTCATTCATCTCTTCACCCCCCACCCACCCACTCAAAACTAAAAATCAAAAAACCAACCATCATCGCCACCTAGCATCCCAACCAAACCGAAACATAACATGTCCCACCTTCACCACTTGCTTTTCTTCCCAAATTTCTTTGATTTTCACAATTCATTGCCCATTCAAACATGACAAATCTGATTATGTAACTTTGGAACCAATAGCATCAGTACCTCTTTGAACAATGCCCAAGTTTTCTGCCAAAGGTAGCAAAAAATTATTTGTCTATGCATACAACTTTGATGTATATTTCATTTCATAACTTGAAATATTAATTTAATTAAAAAATAAGATAGATGTCTGTATTTTTTGCTCTAAATCAACGTAGTGGCTTTTAATGTTTGCAATTCGCTTCAAATCGACGTTGTGACTTTAATTTTGAAACTTAGGGTTTTGAAAGTGGGAGGAATTTTACGAATAATGAGTTTGTGGGGTTTGAAGAATACGAATTCATTGCCCATTCAAACATGACAAATCTGATTATGTAACTTTGGAACCAATAGCATCAGTACCTCTTTGAACAATGCCCAAGTTTTCTGCCAAAGGTAGCAAAAAATTATTTGTCTATGCATACAACTTTGATGTATATTTCATTTCATAACTTGAAATATTAATTTAATTAAAAAATAAGATAGATGTCTGTATTTTTTGCTCTAAATCAACGTAGTGGCTTTTAATGTTTGTAATTCGCTTCAAATCGACGTTGTGACTTTAATTTTGAAACTTAGGGTTTTGAAAGTGGGAGGAATTTTACGAATAATGAGTTTGTGGGGTTTGAAGAATACGGGCAAAAATGGTAAATAAAGATGAATTATGGAGACCACCATTGATGAGATTTCAAGCTTCTTCTTTTTTTTTTTTTTTTTTTAATCATGCGACGTTGTGGAAGTTTGT